AATCATAAGTTTAGCAGTTTTGTGCGTGTCAACTGTTCTGGAAATTTTAAATTTAGTTGCTCCAATAAAAACCGTAAAAATTTTTCCTAAATATAAAAAATGGTGGAACAATAGGGTTGAGATGGCGATGCGAGAACGTGATTTTAGTTATAGGACTTATAAAAATAATAAAACAGATGAAAACTTAAATGAATATAAGCAAAAAAGAAATTTTGCAGTTCAAGTGTTTAGAGAAGAGAAACGTAAGTTCTATGAAGAAAAAATATGTCAAAATAAAAATAATCCCACAGAAATGTGGAAAACTTTGGAAACTTTATTACCTTCAAAAAGAACAGTGGCTAAAATTGATGAGGTAGAAATAAATAATACCTTAATTAGTGATAAAGAGGAGTTACCTAATAAACTGAATATTTTTTTTGTTGATAGTATTAAAGATATACTTCGGGATATAGATAAGTCTGATCTTGGAGATTTTCCATTGGCTCACCATGACGATTTGGTTAATTTTTCAGATTTTGGTATGTTGGATTTTGAAGGGTTGAAAGATATTGTTTTTGGAATGGCTAATAAATCAAGTCCAGATGATATTAACATCAATTTACTCAAAAATACTTTTGAGATTATAAAGAATCCACTTTTAAATTTAGTTAATTCTTCGCTAGAATTAGGTCAGGTTCCTGATATGTTAAAAGTTTCCACTATAATCCCGATCCCCAAAGTAATTAAATTAAAATCTGCCAATGAATTGCGTCCAATAAATTTGCTTTGCACTATTGACAAAATTTTGGAAAAAATGGTGTATATGCAACTTGTTGAGTATATAGATCGGAATAAAATACTAAGTGATTTTCAATCAGGATTTCGAGTAAAATTTAGTTGCGAAACTGCTGTGCAGGGTATCTTGGAAGACTGGAGGCAAAATATTGACAAAAACTTAGCAACTGGTGCCATTTTTCTTGACTTACGAAGGGCATTTGAAACTGTAAACAGGACAAGGTTAATATTAAAGCTAAAAAGCATTGGTATTAGGGGAGTAGTTTTAAAATGGTTTGTGAGCTACTTGAGTGACCGTAAACAAAGACTAAAAGTCAATGACATATTATCAGAAGATATATCTAATGATTTTGGCGTCCCTCAGGGGAGCGTGCTGGGGCCTTTGCTATTTATTATATATATTAATGACATAATTAAAAACGTAAAAAATTGTACCACATATCTTTTTGCTGACGATGCCTTATTCTATTATTCCACAAAAGATCTGGGCCAACTTGAGACATCACTTAATCAAATATTGGATGATGTGTATCAGTGGTGTAATGTTAATGATTTGAAGGTCAATATTTCTAAAACAAAGTACATGATTATTGCAAGGGAATCCATTTACAAACAGCTATTGGCTATGGACTGCAAATTATTGTTGGGCAGCGACACTATTGAAATGGTAACAAAAATTAAATACTTAGGAATTTGGATTGACCATAAACTAGATTTTAAAAGTCATGCATTAGAAATAATTAAAAAAATCGCTTTTAAAGTAAATTATTTATCTCGCTGCTCTCCATACTTGTCTACTTGGACTAAAAAAACTATATTTAATGTATTAATACTTCCACATTTCCATTATTGTTCTAGTATTTTGTTTCTCTTCAGACAAAATGAGCTCTCAAGATTGCAGAAATTGCAAAACAGAAGTATGAGGGTGATACTCAAAAAACCAAGGTTAACACCAATAAAGGATATGTTAAAAGAACTTCAATGGCTGCCAGTGCGGGAGCTTCTTCTGTTTAACACCCTAACATTCATTCATAAAATAAAAATTGGTCAAGCTCCGCAATATTTGTTAGGCAAAATTATGCATGCTTCTGAAGTGCATCAATATCATACGCGCCACAGAGAAAATTTTTATATCCCAAGGGTAGATCAGGAAAGGTCGCAAAACTCATTATATTTTAAGGGCTTGAGTAGGTATAATGATCTGCCAAATAATGTTAAGTCTATGAAAACAGTGAATTCTTTTAAAAAAGTTCTCAAAGATTATATGCTAAGTGATGTTAACTTATAAGTAAGTAGTATGTGTCACTTGTATTGTATCAGTGTACGTTTTTTTTTAAATAATTTTTTATCATTGTGTTATTGACTGTAGATTTTAAATTGTTTTTTAATTAAATTATAAATTAGCTTTAGTGGAATTTCAATTGATAACTGTAACTGTATAACTGTAAATTAGTCTTGACTAAATAAAGGATTTATATATATATACATTGTTAAGGCACTTCTGAGAATGGTCTACAAATTTTATGAATTAAGACAAATTGTCTCACAAAAAACAATAAGACAAATTTATCAATAATTATTTATAATTATGGCATCGCCTCCTGGGGTGCTGCATGTAGCAATGTTTTGGCCTCTTTGTTTGTGTCTCAAAAGTATATACTTGAAGTAATGCTATTTAAAAAAAGGTTATACAGTTCTGAAATGCTCTTCAAGGATGCAGGTTTGCTGAACATAAGACAGTTGTATATTGAAGATATTATCAAGAAATACTGTAAAAATAAAATTATTTTACCTTATGTAAATCACGAAAAAGAAACTCGATCAATTGCAAATAATTCCATGGCTCTTCCACAAACAAATTTCGCAGCTACTCAAAGACACTACACATATACTCTTCCTAAAATAATCAATTTACTACTCATTAACTATAGAACTCTATCATATAATAAAATTAAGGAGGAACTAAAGGTTTGTGGATAGTTCGGAATTACACAGTCATCGTCTTAAATATTCGTTGGTTTCGGGCATAGGCTTTGATACTGTTGTGTATTAAGTACCTAATAAGGATTATTTTGGCTATTTGTGTACATCACAATTAATGTATTTTATTGTTATCGTAATGTTATTCTATTGTTTATTTAATGTTCTAAGTAGTGAATAGTTTTTATATTTGTTTATTTATTTATTTAGTGCACACACAAATTCCTTGAGAATTCATTGTGCACTCTAAACATGTACTAACCTAGAGGATTACTCTTTCTTTCTTTTTTTGTAACATTTCAAATACGTAATATAGTACTTCAACTTCAGATCAAACACCATATTAAAATAAAAGATGAGATTCCAGTGTATACCAAGTCATATAGATATCCATATTTCCATAAAAAGGAAGTGAAAACCCAGATATCTTTCATGTTGGATCAAGGAATTATCAGACCAAGCCAGTCACCTTGGATTTCCCCGATATGAATAGTTCCAAAGAAACCAGACGCCTGTGGAAAAATAAAATGGCGGATAGTAGTAGACTATAGGAAAGTAAACGAGAAAACTATCGACAATAAATACCCAATTACATAACGAAATGGCTAAAGAAGATACATGCAAAACTGCTTTCAATGTCGAAAATGGCCGTTACGAGTATGTACGGATGCCTTTTGGCCTAAAAAAAGCTCCAACTACGTTCTATATAGTACCTACTTATAAAGGTTTCCAGTTAATTCCAAAGTATTAGTATTATGTAACGATTTTCAGGTTGTTCTGGAAAGTTCTCAATCATTTCTCAACTATGTAGACTAGTACCAAAAGTTATTTGTAAAGAATTCTAGACCGTATAAGTGAGGCGTGCGCAACGTCCAAGGGTACATGATGCAAGAACCGCGTCAACCTGGCCTTGATCATATTACTAATTTTTAATTTTAAACAATAAATTTTGCTTTTTCAAGAAAAATAATTAGCTTTTATGCATTAATCTTTCTAAAATTTTAGAAAATATTGGTAAAACTGATACTGATGCTCTGTAATTATTTGGGTTTTGTTCATCCCCCGATTGATTGATTTTGAAATCTTTAATTTATTTGGACAGATTTCATTTGTAAAAGAAAGATTTGCCAAATATTTTAATCTTGACTGTTTCAATAATTTTTACTGATATGGTATCATAAGCACTAGCAATTGGATTCCAAATTGGTAATTATTTAATCAATTTCACTGTCCTCAATCTGTTCATTTAGGATCATTGAATGTTTATTAGTTATTTCTGTTTTTTATTATTTTTTCAAACTTCGGTATAATATTTTTGCATACTATCTGTTATTTTATATTTTCAATTAATAATAGGTAGGTATTGTCTATTCATCATCTGTAGACCAAAGGTACAGGTAAAATTCATCTCCTTTCAATGCTATTTGATAGGAAAGGTGAGAAATTTACCTGTACCTTTGGACTACAGATTGTGAATAGGATATATCTACCTATGCGTTTTTAGTAAAATTTATGATAACGAAAATTCCCAGTCTTCCTCCTCTTGGATTTTCTTTTGCGGCATAAATAGAATTTTAATTTTTAAATTTATAATATTTGTTCTTCATTATATTTTTTCCATGTTTCTGTCATTATAACATGTCCATTTTCTCTTCATTAATCAAAATTTCACTTCCGTCCATTTTATTTATTTAAAAAAAAATATCATTAATTTACCATCAGTATTCTGAGACACAACTCATCATAATAACTCTTTAGCAAGTCATGTAGGTACCTAAATAATTTAAATCTAAAGAAAAAGTGGTAGCTGACAAACAACATGACCAGTTTATCTGAAATAACACATTAGGCAAACGCAAACGAGTACATATTATGCATTAGCTCGATTTAAATGAGTTATAATAACTAAAGTCTGTTCATTAAGTCTATAGAATCATCCAATAGGTAGGTTATGACCAAAAAGTTTAGATCAATTAGGGTCTACGAAACGGTTAAAGATATAGGATCGGTTAAATTTATTTTAGTTCTCAAAAGTTCCCATATAAATGGTCCTTGAAACATCGTCAATAGGATCTTTTGCCACATTCAGGACGCTACAAAAACATCTCTTTTTGAGACTGTTCATCCAAAAATGTCTTTTGAACTTTTTCAACGTTGGTTAAAACTTGTAAACCCATGTAAAAATGTCCTTTACCAAAAAACATTTGTGGGAAAATTTGTGGGAAAATAGAAATCAAAACAACAACTTAAAATAATAATAACGTTTATTAATCAATAAACAACTATAGTTTTTGTACAGAAAAAGTAGACGCATGGTGTCTGCCCATAAATTAATTTGTTAAAGATTAGTGAAGTCAGGAAGTCAAGAACTACACGGAACTCTAAATAACAATAATAATTCATAAAAATTAACAAGAACAACTATAACCCTTGTAAACTGAAATCTAATTTTTTCGAATTTTTATTATTAAAAGATTTGGTCCAAAAAGAAGGCATCAGAAATGCTTCACATAGAAACCAGGACTGGGACTCTATATCTATTATTGGCGTCCCCTCTCTATTGTTTTCGAAAACAAGATAGGATAACTATCTCTATCCGTTACAGAGTCCCAGCCCAGATCTTTTAATAATAATACAATTTTGCAAGGGATAGTACACTTAGATCATAATTAAAATCCTAATTTTTATTGTGTTCACTCATATCACAGTATTTCTAAACAAAAAAAGTTACAATAATAATTGATGACGGATGAAGTTCTCTTTATTGGTGTGAATTGAAATAATATAATCCTTATTGTTGAAATACATTTCTCACCCATTAAATGACACAATAATTCTGATTTCTGAGTGAACTAATTTTACACAAATCACACTTATAATCCAATAATTTTTGATAATAGAGTGTATTTTTTTTAACAGTGTTCAGTACGAATTTATTTCAAGTCTTTTCAATACCTGTAATTAAATTTAATTAGAAGTTTAATTCCTAGAGAAGAACAGTACAATTTTTCCTACTCTATTTTTTAAGAGTCGAACGGCATTTTTCAATAATTGTATAATCCGAGATCTAATGTGTATCCTACATTTTTGGTTTTAGTCAAATTTGTTTTGATGCTTAATTGAAAACAACATTATAAACCAAATTTGACTAATGGGCAAGTGCGTTTTTGACTTATAAGCATTTAAAATAATGGCTTCTTGAGACACACTAAAGATACACTACTTTTGATCTTGAATTATTAAACTCATAAACATTTATTTCTTCCATAATACTTATTTTCATGTGTGTTATTTACATGAGATTTTGTTTGTTTGTGATGTAACAAATGTTATGGAATTTTAAAAAATGTCCTTGTATTCGTATTGAAAGTTCCTGGAACTTCTAATTTGCAGAATTCCAGAATTTGAAGATACATGAGTTCTTTCGTAGGAGAATTTTCAAAGGACCCTGCACACTTCTTATAGGATGTTGGGATTCGGTCAATTTCTCTGAAAAATTGATATGATGCAACATTCTGATTAAAAGTGTTCATAGCCACAACTTGATCCTATGACTAGTTTTCGAGATACAGGTAGTTTAATGTCCATATTGAAAGGACCATCATATCAAATTTTCAGGAAAATTGACCGAAACCCAAAATCCCATAAGATGTGTGCGGGGTCCTTTAGTAATTGTGGCAAACTTGAGCTGGCAACGCTGCTCGAAAGTCGGAATAGCAGCCCTCGGCGCCAGGTTGAATACCACAGGCTGCTACAGCAATGACTCAGGATCTAAAGATACTGAACGTCTGGAGAAACAAGAAATTTACATAGTAATTTCATGATCTTGGAAAATCTTTTCAAAAAAGAATCATGAAATTTTAAAAGGAATAACTAAAGTTTCCGGAGTATTTTTATAAAAGTGTCAAGAAGTAGTGGAGTATTCTGGCAGAGAAACAGAACATTTGCAAAAGAACAGTTAAGAATTTAAAGATCCTAATTTTGGTGATTAAAACATCGATTAGACTATTCGTACTTTTCAACCTCAATCCATTTGTTGGTTTTTTCTTTTTATTGTTCCATTGCTTTTACTGAATATTCTAAATTAAATTAAAATGGATTATGATTTCGATTTCCTTAAAGACGATATGTTTTCAAATGACGATCTTGATCTTCTGGACATTATTAGGACTGTTCCAACTTCCAACCTAGCAAAAAACCGCCCCAAGAACTTATTCAGAACCATTCTGTATACACATTTCGGATTCTACGCACAAATTTTATGTTTTGCGCAGAATCCTGGCGGTAAAATGAACGGTTCTCTGCTGGGTTGGAACAAAGCTATGGGGGTCGGATTTCTCTGGAAGGTTTACTAGAGAAAAACCATTTTCAAGAGCTGGATAACCTGAAATTTTTCAGATATTCTCGGCTGATGAAAAATACAGTTTTGTACTTGCTGGAACTGGGGGGATCTACTTAATTGATTTTATTTTGTCTTGGTTCTTCAAATTTCACAATTTTTGTTAAAATGCATGCAGAAAATGAACATTGAATTGAAAAAACACCAGAGTTCAGTCGGGAGGTCCTGACGCACACCGCAAAAATAACACGACAAAAAATTTACAAGAACCCGAAAAACTTTGCTAGTCAATTTGTTTGACAGTTTGACAATGTCAGACATAAACTTGTGGTTATGAATGTGCCTTTGAGCATTATGAAGTTAGCCAAACAGAAGAATATTACGCTGTTGCCAAGTACTTCCTCCGTTTACCTAAACACTGTTTAGTTCTAGACGGTGCAAATCACAAATACATAAACGTTGATTACAAATCATTGATTAGCTAATCACTGTTTACGACGAAGACGGAATAAACGGGCATAAGAATCTGAGTAGATCTGAAGAGTATTGTTATAAAAGAAGTGCCATAGCGATAGGGAAAAGTCTATGGGGAAAACGATCTCTATTCGTTCCAGAGTTCCAGTTCAGGCAGTATGCGAAGATATTAATAAGGATTCAGGATTTTCAAAGTCCCCTTAAAAAAATCGGAAAATTGCATGATCAAAATAAAAGGATAACGCACATCTAACATGGGATTTTTGGGCTCTATGGATTTTGCCCATTTTTTGATATGTTGTAGAGGATTTAATTCTGAACAACCTTTAAATGGGACAAAATCTTGTAGGTATTACGGTCTTTGAGATATGAGCGTTGGAAGATGAACTTTTTTGCGACTTTTTGTGTGGAGAGTATACGAGATACTGGTGCTACTGGTGTTTATCAGTCAAAATATTGACAGGTTTTTACGTCACTTTAAAAATTAATGTCAACGTCATTGATGTCAACATAGGTTAAGGCCGGGACCGCGCTGGGGTCAATGTTGGCGCCAATGCGGTCCCGGCCTTAGCCAATATTGACATTTGTTAGTGACGTGAAATATGTCAACCTGTCAAAATTTTGACTGATAAATACCAGTTTTTCGTATACTCTCCACACAAAAAGTAGCAAGAAACTTCATCTTTCAACGCTCATATCTTAAACACCGTAAAGCCTACAAGGTTTCGTCCCATTTAAAGGTTGTTCAGAATTAAATCCTCTACAACATATCAAAAAATGGACAAAATCCATAGAGCCCAAAAATCCCATGTTAGGCGTGCGTTATCCTTTCTAAACTTTGTTCTAACAGCACCAAGACTTTTTCAATGTTCTGGAAATTCAGGCTTTTAAGATCCATAGATTTTTTTCCAGAACAAAGAAGAGAAAAATCTGACAGTCTGAAGATAGTTTGCAAAGTGATACCTCAAAATTCAGGATCGATTTGAAGAAACACAAAAAAAAATTCCGAGCAATAATTTGTATAATCATTTAATAAATTAATAACAGTCGTTAAATCACAAACCCCATACAGTTATATAAAACCACCGATTCCTTCCTTGGACATAGCGACAACCCAGTCAAAAAAAATTTACCAATTAAAAATACTTTTAATAATAATATTTATATTTATATACACAATATCTAAAAAAATACATTGCAAGAAAAAATATCTTATCAGATATATAATAGATAATCATCTAGATATACAATATATACAACAATCCTGACTTTGGACTTGGCAATGATTGATTCACTCCTAAAATGTAGTTTTACACAAAACAAGTGTGTGTTTATTACAAGTATTATTTGTTAGGGATTTGATATAACCAGGCAAAAGGTGGCGCTAGTAAATGTACTGTTAGTTCAATAAATATTATATAAAATTGAACAATAATAACCCCCTACTATACCTATTTGTATTGTTAGTTTTGGCGATTCTATATTGAATCCCTAACAAATAAATGTATAATAAAAACGTTGCTATTTTCAATATAAGCTTTTTTCTTTCATAAATGGACACATTAATATTGTCATGTTAATAAGTGTTGTTTTTCTGTTTGTTTATAAAGAAACCTATTAAAATTTGTCTCGGGAATAAGTTAACTCTTCTAAAAAATTGCTTCTAATTTGTCTATGTTGAATCTCTGGAAGAGAAAAAATTCAATAAAAAAAAATGTTGTGTTGAGTCCAAATTGTGTTGGTCAATAGTTTCAATAATTCACTGTGAAAGTTAATTAATAAAGGATTCTGTATCTATTTTATTAACTTGAATTACAAAGTATTATAAAAAGTGTCAACTTACTTTAACCTGTCCAGAACGCCCTTCAGCCTCTGATCAGATATGGATGGCACTAATTTTTGCACCAATTCGGAAACGAACATGTCGCTGATGCCGGGACTGGTCCTTTCGGCAATTTCGAAAGCGTTCTTCAGCTCCTCGATGGCATCGCTCGATTTGTGTGAACTATCCGGACTTCGACCTAAACAATAAAAATTATTAGTATCTCATTTTATATAATATTATGACAATTATTGTGCTATGACTTCTATTGAATAGAATGAAATTTGATCATTTGTTAGTAGACCCTCATTTTTGAAATCATTGAACCTGAGAATAGTTTCTTACCATTGTAATGATGCCTTCTTTGTAAATCTGTCATTAAAGGATAAATAAAACCAGTCAACGTCGTTGACGATCGGCCCTCATTCTTGCCTTGCGCAGAACTTCCTCCCGAAATCGATCTGCGATTTGCCTTTTTGCTTTCTGAAAAAAAAAAAATCATTCTTTAGTTATCACATATCAGAGACTAAAAATATTTTAGGATTTTCTTTGATAGATGATCAAAACTTTTATCTATCTATATAGATGGCCCCTGGTAAAGTCAGGCATGCAATCTGACGGTTATCCGCCAACGAATAGAATTATAGAATGGTAAATTTATCTTGCAGATAGTTACCAGTTACCAGCAAGTTTATCTGAAGATAAATAACCCGGGCCTGAATACAATATGTAGTCAAATATGTAAGTATGTGAGAATTGTCGGAAAATAGATCACTTTCTGAAGAAAAATTCAAATTGGACAACGAGAACTCGTGAGCCTTTACCATTTCCAATAAGCTAAATGCAGGATCTCTCAATAATACCGATTTAGTTATCTGACATGGATCTGTTTCAGAAAATTCACTTCTGAGTTAATTCTCAGGAGGCGTATAGCTTGATTTTATCATTCTTTATAGATGACTGACTTTCGAAAATGCTGTGCAAGAAACGAAGATATGTGTTCAAGTATAAGACTAACCGATTCAATGTTAGGATATTATATTTTTTAAATAAGGGTTTGCAAGTGTTCCACTGAAGAAGCACCAGCGATAAAGAACATTGCTTGCTTCTGAAGTTTAAATACTGTCAACTACTTAAGTAAATACCACTCTGTACAGGGTGGGCCAATTTGGACACTTTTAATAGGAAACATCAATTTCTGAGCGAGATACAAAAAAATTAACCCCCCACACTGAGGCTCATATTTCGTGAAAATTCGATTGGTGCAAACCGCAATTTGATATCTTCAACCGTTTAGCCGCTAGAGGGCGTGTTGTTCGTAGAGTTTAAATTATCTGAATTTCACGTTTCAAGCAATTATTTATTTAAATAATTGTACAAAATTATAGAAACTTACAAAACATGTCAAGCATGTGTGTGTGTCAATAATAACAATCGTAAATTCGTAAATAATAATTTCATATGTCAAAAACTTCTCTTCTTTTTTGTCTTCTGTCATATTCTTCTTTTCTTTATTGGGGACCGAGGACGGTTAGGAATGGGCTCCACGATTAGGAATGAGTTCCAATCGAAGGTGAGCCGCGGTTGCACGATACTGAACAGAGCCGACGACACAACACTGAACATACCGCCCCCCTTGAAAGCCCATAGGCTTTTAATAGTCTTGGTTGGGTATAATGGCTAGCTTGGTCACTGGACGCTTGAACACTCCAGTGGCTGTCTTGATAGATGCTGTGCGGATCACGCCATCTTCTCCTGGGAAAACTTCGGTCACTCTGCCGATTCGCCATTTCAAAGGTGGGAGTCCGTCTTCTTTACTGATGACAAGTATGCCTGGCTTCAACAATTGTGGATAATGCTGTTTCCACTTTGTGCGAATCTGAAGCTCGGTTATGTATTCCTTGGCCCAACGGGACCAAAAATGTTGGACCATCTGCTGCCGATGCTCGTAGATTGACAGTCTGTTTTCTGCAACTCCTAGCAGATTTGGTTGCGGAACTGTGGTAAGAGGCTCTCCAATCAGGAAGTGCGCAGGGGTAAGGGAATTAGGATCATTGGGGTTGTCAGAAAGTGGACATAAAGGTCTGGAATTCAGACAAGCCTCTATTTGGTTTAAAACAGTAATAAAATCTTCAAATGTTAAACATGAATTACCAATAACACGCTTTATATGGTACTTTACTGATTTCACATTGGATTCCCAAAGTCCCCCAAAGTGGGGTGCGCGAGGAGGTATGAAACTCCATTGTATACCAGAGTTCACCAAACTATTTGAGATGGCAGAGGAGTCATGCTCAAGAAAAGCCTTGAGCTCATTATTAGTACCAACAAAGGTCGTACCTTGGTCTGAATATATCTGTGCGCATTTGCCCCTACGAGACATGAATCTGTACAAGGCAGCCAAAAAGCTCTCAGTAGTTAAATCACTTACAAGTTCTAAATGTAATGCCTTCGTGGCGAAACAAATGAATAAGGCTATGTAAGCCTTGGAAGTCTTAGAACCCCGCCCTTTGCGGTCTTTAAGAATGAAGGGACCGGCATAATCAACCCCTGAGACAGAAAATGGTCTAGATGGTGTTATGCGATCCTTTGGTAAGTTACCCATAATGTATTGTGTGGATTTGGCATTAAAACGGAAGCAAATTGTGCAATTGTGATACACGCTTTTCACTAAATTTCTTCCACTAACTGGCCAATAACGTTCACGTAATGATGCAAGGGTTAATTGTGGTCCTGAATGTAGTAACTTGATGTGCTCGTGTTGAGCAATCAGAAGCGTAAGTCTGTGTTTAGGAGGTAATATGATAGGGTGTCTTTTTTGAAAATCGTAATCAGAATTTTGAAGGCGACCTCCAACTCGTATCACGTTGTTGGAATGATCAAAAAATGGATTCAAAGTCAAAAGTTTGGATTTATTAGAAATTTTATGCCCCTTCTGTAAAGCAGAGTATTCCTCAGGAAACGTTTCAGCTTGTACCATACTAATGAGAAAGTTAAGAGCATCAGTTATCTCTTGAGCAGATAGTTCACTTGTGACCTCAAGCCTCTCCTTAAGGTGAACTGTTGATTTTGACTTTAAGATCATCTTAAAACGCAATACGTACGCAACTATGCGAGAAATTTTGGTTAAACTAGAACGTTTGTCAATAAGAGTTAAAAAGTCATTGGATCTTTGTTCCTCCAAAGCTATATGAGCTGAAGAAACATTTCGCAACTCAGAAGTATCTTCCTTTGAAACGTTGAAAACGTAATTTGGCCACTGATCTTCGGTATGACACAACCAAGGAGGGCCATGAAACCACAAGTCTGAATCCAATAATTTCAAGGGAGACAATCCTCTGGTGAGCATATCAGCTGGGTTGTCAGTAGTTTTAATATATCTCCATTCATCGTAGGTGGTCATAGATTGAATTTGCGAAATTCGATTTGCAACAAACGTTTTTAGAAGATGAGGAGATGACTTAATCCAAGACAACACTATGGTAGAGTCACACCAATAGTACGTGGCGCTGAATTTAATCGTTATGGATGATAATATTGTTTTCATTAAGTCGGCTAGAAGTACAGCTGCGCAGAGCTCGAGCCTCGGGATGGTAACTAGTTTAAGTGGCGAGACGCGGGTCTTGGCGCAAAGAAGTTGGGAGCAGCTGTTGCCAAGATAATCAGTAGAACGTATGTAAATACATGCTCCATAACCTGGTTCAGCGGCGTCTGAGAAGCCGTGTATTTGAATTTCAATGGGGTTACCACAAAGAGTGAGTCGAGGTATTCGAAGCTTGTTCAGCTGCACCAGCTGAGTCCTAAAAATAGTCCAAATCGTGTGTAGGTCCATAGGTATGGATTCATCCCATGATATTTTGAGTTTCCACAATTGCTGTAAGATAATCTTTGCAGAGATCGTCACAGGAGAAAGAAGACCAAGCGGGTCAAAGATCTGCGCAATTGAGGAGAGGATTGTGCGCTTTGTAACGCGTTCGTTGTGTTCACCAGTACCTATGCCTATGTCATATTCCAATGTATCAGAACTATGATTCCAAAATAGCCCCAAAGTTTTGCAAGGGCTGCCTGTATCAAACGAAATGCATTTTGTGGAGGGATCAGAAGTGAGTGACGCTACATTGGAAGCCCATTTTCTCAAGGGAAAACCATATCTTAAGAGTAGTTCATGAATAGTTTCCTTTATCTGTTTGACTTCTTCGACAGTTTGGCCACCAGTAAGTAAATCGTCGACGTAAAAATCACCATCTATTATGTGAGAAATCTTAGGCTCATCCTTAAGATGCAATTTGCCTACTTCCTGAAGAGCCCTTGTAGCAAGGAATGCTGCAGATGCAGTACCGTATGTAACTGTGGACAGATCATATGTCATAATTTTTCCATTGCTGTTAGAACGCCAGAGTATGCGCTGTAAATTATGTTGATCTTCTGCCACATAGACTTGCCGGTACATTTTCTCAATGTCCCCGCTCAGGACCACAGGATGCATACGATATCGTAATAAGATAGAAAAAAGACTATTTTGGACGTTGGGGCCAACCATCAGTAAGTCGTTTAGTGAATATCCTGAATCAGATTTACAGGAGGCGTCAAAAACGACGCGAAGTTTGGTGGTGGTTGAGCTCATTTTAAGCACACAATGGTGCGGCAGGAAGTAACCAGAATCATCATTTTGATTCTTAGACAAGTACATATGACCAAGTGTTTCATATTCTGAAATGAATTTTTGATAAGAATTTTTAAGATCAGAATTTCCATCTAGCTTCCTTTCTAGGGTCAAAAAACGCGTCAGAGCAATTGCCTTTGAATCACCAAGGCGGTCAACAGGAATTTTGAGAGGAAGACGTACCACGAACCTACCATCAGAAGCTCTTACCGTGTGCTGAGAAAAATGTTCTTCGCATAGGTTCTCTTCAGGTGAAAGAAATTTTGTTTTAGAGTATTCCTCCAATTCCCAAAACTTATTCAGTTGGTTATCTATACTAGTAGAATAAAGACATTGCGAATGTGAATGAGGATCTGACTTGATTTGCATCGGCCCTGAAATGATCCATCCGAACAGTGTTTTTTGTAGTATGGGAAGACCCTTTCCTAGCTTGATTTGTCCAATGTTAATCAGTTCCCAGAAAGTATCTGCCCCAATAAGCAGGTCAATAGGTTTAGAAGAATTGAAGTATGGATCAGCTAATACAATATTTTCAGGAATTTTTAGTGAAGTGTAGTTGAAGGACACAGCAGGAACGTTTCCAGTAATGGCTGGCAGTATTAAGCAAGATAATTTTATGTCAAAGTGGGAATAGTTAGATTGAATCCTGACCACGGCTCTAGAAGATATAGTTTCAGTTTTCTGACTGATACCTGTCACAGAATATTGTATTTTTTCTAGAGGTAATTTTAACAAGTTACATAATCTTTGGGAAATGAAGTTGGATTGGCTTCCACTATCCAAAAGCACTCTACATGCTACAGGGTTGCCTGTAGCATCA